TTATTTCGAACACGTGGTGTATAATGGCAGAAAACCTTCCGACGAGTTTTGAACAAGGAATCTTGAACAGTAAGATCGCATCTTCCGAACACTGCATTCCGATTGAAAATCTATTAATTTTACAAAAAGTTATGGCAGTTTGAAAATTGTCGAAAATTTCAGTGGTCCACTTGTTTCTTTGAGCACTTTAGTTTTTCTCCGAACAAGAAAAGTTGATATACTTCGATTTTGGAAATATTAATTTTGAAACCTTTTCCGAGGACATCAGCAATCAGTGTGTAGTCGAATGGTTATGTTAATTATCATATCTTTTCTATAATGATTTGTTATGTTCATTTCATATGTTTTTAATCAGTAATACAATGTCTACAATGTTGAATCAATTTATTGAAACCTTGTACAGTGCATCCAACTTTGGTAGAGACTGACAGGTTCCTCGATTGTTTTTGAAGATAGAACTTTGCGGTTTTCACGTTCCTTTCCTATTCTTTTGTGAAACTCAAAATGGCCTAATTAGATTTTGCATACCTGTTTATGAGATACAGGGCGATTTTGAGAATTCATACTTTTTGGACCCCTTCTATATCTACGAAGTTATAAGGATCTATGTTGCGTTTAGAACTGCTTCTAATGGGGAGTTTCGAGCAGAATCCAGTGGCGTACTCAATTTTTTATTTTGGGTATGATTTTGGAGATACGACACTAACTTATATATTTTTTTCAATGGAACATCCTATATTTTATTATCTCGTTGAATTCGTAATTTTTTCCCTTCGAAGTGATGTATAATACTTTATATATAGGATTTCAGAAATGCTCAAAAAACACTAAAACATCAAATTATGTTGAATTTTTGCTAGTGGACCATGAATTTCCCAAGTTTCACTTGAAGGATTATGTATGATTCATAATATTTGGTATTGATTAGGTACTTCTTCTATTATAGGTATTATTATTCATTTGTTGTTTTTAGGTACCTAAGTTTTATGATTCGCGTAAGGGAATTAGTTTTAATTTTTTTCCTATAAACAATATCACAAAAATGGGAATTCTTCAATCGATACCTATTTCAAATGGAAAGTCCACCGCCCACTACAAAAGCTCATCATAATTTAATGTTTTAGTGTTTTTTAGCATATCTGGACATCATAATATGTATAAATTATTATGCATCGTTCCAAAGAAAGAATATAACGAATTTAACGAGATAATAAAATACAGGGTGTTTCATTTAAGAATATATGAGTTTGTGTCGTATCTCTAAAAGTACGTCACTGGAATCTGGTCGGAATTCCCTATAAGACGAAATTGTTAGCGAAACACAATTTTTGAATAACTTCGTAGATATAGGAGGTGTCCAAAAAGCATGATAATTCAAAATCGTCCTGTATCTCATAAACGGAAACAGTTATGCAAAATCTGATTAGGCCATCTTGAATTTCACAAAAAAGTAGGACTATCCTCAATAAGAACCGAGAGACCTGGCAGTCTCAACCAAAATGGGATTAAATAGCTTCTGATATAAAACAATGATCAACAACCAACCATGCTCTCTATGCTTGATTCTTATTTAGAATTTCACTCATCTGATAGCTCTAGAAACCAAGAATTTGTATAAAATTGTTTCCCTGGTTATATTTATTTTATGAAAAAAAAATGTGGGGTGCGTCATTGTGAGCGCATGGTATTTACACCGAATACATTAATTTCGAAAAAAAATCCTGCCGAATGGTTTTAGCGCGCATTCCTTTAGAGCGAAAAGAAAAAGAAAATACTTATTTGGCTATGAGCATTCATATCGAGAAAAAAAAAGGGGGAAAATTATTATTGAAAACGTTTCCTCCTTGTAGAAATAGTGGCATATATACAGGCTGACTCACAAAAAAACGTCCCAAGTCATAGCGCTGCTATCCGATTTAAAAAACAGAAAAGCAACTGAAATGACTCACCAGATTCAATAAACAGGCTCTGATCATTATTTTTTGAAATTTCAACTGTCAACTTTTTTTTTTTCATGGCATCATATGTTTTTTTGTTGTCTATTCGAGATTTTTGTTTTAATACAGTGATGTATGACCAGTTGAATTTTGAACATAGTTCGTTAAAATGTGGAATAAATGCTCTGTTGACAATAAACTAGTGTTAATATTGTTTTACGGATGACGAAAGTAACATTTTTGAAGTGAGAGAACGGTGAAGGTCATTAGCTTCAACTTTTTCTATATCCTCAAATGCCTTAAAACTGACTAGGCAGAAAAAGTACTGCCTAGACAAAAAAGTTTGTTGCTATGCAACGTTCCAAGCACTAATTTAAATCAAAGTGCTAATCAAAATTGACAATGAATGTGGGTGAACACAAAATGATGGATAATTTGGACTTTGCGTGAAATTGGAACGAATTTGGAGAAAAAATTATATGTTTCCCAAGGCAGAAAAGAAGATTCAATGCCTTAGCTGGTTTTATAGCCTCGGCTACGACAAAATGACGTTTCTTCGTGAAGGGTTGGAGAAAAAAATATGTTCACGAAATTCTGGAATATATCATTAAATGTGGCAGTAGATGTCACTGGCACTGTCACTTGCACAGCTACCTATATATTTTTGTCTAGTGTTCTTGATTCGTGTACCTATACTCAATGAGAATCTCCTGTTATTCATTTGATTTGTTTTATTTTAGGTATGTAGTGAGTTTTCAACAGTAACCTTTAGGAAAATACCAACTATCAAAATATTCAAAGGACCATAAGGAAATTATTGTGTCTATTAATTTTGCTCTTCCGTTATTCGCCGTGACTGTTTCGCTCTTCAGATTGTTCGCTCATTAAATTTTTGCTCTAAACGGTGCGCTCTAAAATTTTTGTTATATAAAGTGCTCAAAGAAACAAGTGGACCATTGAAATATTTGATAATTTTCAAACCACCATATCTTCTTAGAAAATGAATGGATTTTCAATCGGAATGCAGTGCTTGGAAGATACAATCTTTCTGTTCAAGATTCCTTGTTCAAAACTCGTCGGGAGTTTTTCTGTCATTATACACCAAGTGTTCGAAAAAAGTATTACACAAATGAAAAAATTCAAAAGCTTTCAAGCGTTTTTTCCGAACGTTCAAGCCAATATCTCGAAACGGTTTTGTAATTTTCCATATTCCTCATACAGGATCTTAAAAATCGATAATTTTTTATTTTTAGGTTCTCATCACATTTCTGATTTTAAAATTATGCAAGCCACATTCAACGTATTGAATACGAAAAAGTCGATTCCTTGTAATCAACACTCATTCACGCAATTAATACCACTGCACCCAATATAATGCCTCATGTCGAACCTTCGACAACTGTCATCATCGGTTCGACAGAAGGCATTATATTGGGTGTTGTAGTGGTATTAATTGCGTAAATATGAGTGTTGATTACAAGGAATCGACTTCTTCGATTGATTTTCGATGAAAAACCTTGTGATAAATAGGTTTCTTGACTCCATGTCAGCTCAGGAATATCTTACAACCATTATAGCATCGTTATTGTATGAATTGTTCAGAAAAATCCAGAAGGGGCTCCTTGCGCCACCTTGGATCGCCTTATCTGAAAATTCACGAAATCAATTCGCGATACTGAGCAGAGCAATCGATCCAAATGAAGGATTTGTGTTTAGCATAGCATATGGTTATGGCAGCACCAAACTGAACAGACGATTTCACCAAATTCTTAACATTTCTCCAAAAAAATTAATTCTTCTTCTGTTAAAGTTGTCGATGATTTCAACGCAATATGAATCCATTTTCTAGGATGTGTTCCATCGTATAGAATGGCAAAATACGTTGAAAATGGTTTGCATAATTTTAAAATCAGAAATGATGCGATGAAGACCTAAAAATTAAAAATTATCGATTTTTAAGATCCTGTATGAGGAATATGGAAAATTACAAAACCGTTTCGAGATATTGGCTTGAACGTTCGAAAAAAACTATTAATTTAAAAATAAAAAAAATTCCTTGAAATACGGGAGCGTTTTTTCGAACACGTGGTGTATAATGGCAGAAAACCTCCCAACGAGTTTTGAACAAGGAATCTTGAACAGTAAGATCGCATCTTCCGAACACTGCATTCCGATTGAAAATCTATTAATTTTTCAAAAAGTTATGGCAGTTTGAAAATTGTCGAAAATTTCAGTGGTCCACTTGTTTCTTTGAGCACTTGAGTTTTTCTCCGAAAAGAGACCCATCCAAAAATGTTAGTCGTGGCAAAATATCATATGTATATAAGTTTGATTATGATAGAATCTTGAAATTATCATCTAGCGGCGGATATGATATTTTATTTTATTATTTTGTTATGTCGAGCGTACAATTATTAAGTTTTTTATTTCTTACAGTGACATTATAAGCTTATATCGTCATAGTTACGATATCTATAATGAGGGTCATAACTCCCTTGGGATGTTATAGATGCTATAATTCCCTCTAGCTGAAATTAAATGAGAAATGCATAGCAACAACCACGCAATAACGTAGCAATAAGGAATCTCCTATTCGCGGTAGTCAAGATCATCATCTGACGTTCTGATGACATTAAAACTATACGGAAAAACATGTCTAACTTCCAATCGGGAAGGTATCTAATGAATGAAATCAGTCAGAAATAAAATTATCTATGTATCACGGGAATTATAGAGCCTCAATAACATCTGGCAATTGCTGTCCCTCGGGCCAGAGGCCCTCGGGACGCAAACTTTGCCATCGGTAATTAAGGCCCTCATAATTCCCTTAATACATAAATAACTATTATTGAGGGAATAGGTCAAAGCCCAATTTCTAACATTTTGACCCAACGATATTCAGTAGCGACGACGCAACCCATAAACAGACGTTTCCAAAGATCGCAGGACTTTCAAACTGTACTTATACTTGTTCTCTAGTACGCTAGTGTTTATTGTTCACGCTGTATCACTTTCTACAATATAAAATAGTTTGATAACATGTAATATTATATTTTCCAACAGAAATCCCCAACGCCTAACTTAGATGATATTCCAATGCCTTTGTTTGAATCAGAGCAGAAAAAGGCACAGCAGGCGAAAGTAGTAACCAAAACATCTGTAACTTCTTCAGTGGAGGGAGGCACAAGTGTCATGCCACGACAGCGTCCAAAAGGAAGTTCGGCAGCTCCTCCTCTCAACCTTGCAAATATTCCTCTGAACATTTGTCCTAGTCCCACCCTTGCGAAAAAATCCCAAAGTCCTATTGTGCAACAAAATTTTCAAGGTAATCTTCCTTATACTCCGACGTTTCCTGCTAATATTAATACTGAAAATTCAAATTTTTCTCCTAGTTTCTTTCCCACCCCCGACTTAGCACAACCACAGTTAGAATCACTTTTCCAGTCTTCCGTTTATCCCGATCCTTTCCGAGATGACACCTCTGCTTCACCTACTGTATCGAATTCAGAATTGAACAATGAAAACAAGATGGATAATTTCACAAACCAGGCACCTAGTAGCCTCCCAGTGAATGTGGTGTCTCCAGTAACATCTGAAAATCCTCTGTTTGGTTCTGGTAATATAAGCCAAGTAGGATCTATGCAGATGAAACCTGGTTTGACAGAGTCCAGCAATGCCATTAGGGGCGATTCACCAACACCTTCACCTACCCTTTCAGTTCCCAAGGGGCACAGAAGAAATATGAGCGATACTACAGCTTTCAATAAGTGAGTAAAATTATTTGTAATTCTGTGAAATGAAATTCGAGTCCAAAATTGTACATAACTGTTAGTCTATAACCTCAAATCTATTAACGCCATAATCGTTAGTAGGTGAAATAAGTATTTCCGAATGACATATGTGAGTGTCTGGACAGGACAAGAAAGTTTTCTTAAAATAGTCACAGGGCGCACCGAGTCGGGTGCCCTTTTTTTAATGGAATGCACTGTATATTAGCTCAGCACATTTTTTAAAGCATCCTTGTGATGTCCATCCACCCCCTAGAATATCAGTAACTTTATCTTGTATGAATATATTGTCGATATAGTGTCATCTGCAAACCTAAAATATTACTGTCATCGCAATTATGAAATGTAAGGAGATTACCATATCAGAATTCTGAATCTTGAACCACCCTATATCTGTTCCGATTTAATATCAGTTAATAGTGAATCAAAAGTTAAGATAGGGACATGTGAACCGTTTCGACCGATAATGAATAGTTTCGACAAAATCCTAAAGTTGAAAAATCTCGATTTTGAACCACCTATATCTCTGTAATCTTCTTCTTCTTAGTTTAGAGAAATCTAAGGATACCTTAATTGTGGGTGATTTTAATATTAATCTTTTAGTGGACTGTAATACCTCAATAGAATATAAGAATATAGTTGAGCTCTATAACTATAAAATAGCAAATAAAATCGGGGAATTATACGCCACAAGAGTAACAGACTTAACAAAAACTTTAATTGATCATGTCTTAGTTAGGGGGGACAACAAAGAATGTATTGTTCAAACTAAAGACTGTTCGTTCTCAGATCATAAGTCTCTAGTCATTGAAGTAGTAGGTATTAACAAAATCTATGTTCCAAAAGTTCATAAAACACTATTTCACCTTAATGAAAATCAGTTTGTTAGTAAGTTCAGAGAGTTGACAAATGAAGTTATAGTTAACTCTTTTGAAGAACTGATAGACATAACTCAGAAAGCAAAACAGCATGCAACAAAAACTGTAATAATTAAATGTCAAAAGCATAAGGACTGGATGACATATGATTTCATTCAACTAGTTAAAAAGAGGGATAAAATCTATCAGGAAATGAAAAAAACACCCCAGGATGGTGATAAGAGGTCTGAATTCAAAAGAAAAAAAAATATTGTGAACAGCAAAAGTTGAAAAAGGCATACTTTAAGAATAACTGGGAAGCTGCAGGGGAGAACTCAAATAAACAGTGGACCTTTATAAATAAGCTCTTAAGAAATAAAAAAGGGAATGACGAGGTAATTCAAAGTCTAAATATTGAGGGTGATATTATTACAGATACTAATGAAATTGTAAAAAAATTCAATGAATATTTCTCTAATGTTGGACGGAAAATAGTTGACAGCTTGGAAGAGGAGGGCGGTAGTACAGACATTGGTGATTTTAGGGAGATAACATGTGATCACACAATATTTATAGATGATACAAACATAAACGAAATCCAGGATACATTGAATAATATCAAAATAAAAGCATCAGCAGGGCATGACAGCATTTCTATGAAAAACATAATATCAATCAAAACATGGCTTATTCATATATTGGTGAGGCTTATAAATAAAGTATTTGAGACGGGAAAATTCCCAGAGATTCTAAAAATTTGTAAAGTAATACCTATACATAAAACAGGCCCAAGAACTGTCCTAGAAAATTTTAGACCTATAACAATTGTTAGTGTATTTTCAAAAATCATAGAAATGATAATAAAAAATCGTATCCTCTCTTTTATTGAAAGTTGTGTTAATACAGATGCATATCAATATGGGTTCCAAAAGAAGAGCAACCAACAAAAATGCAATGGTCATCTTGATCATATCTACCAAATTCACTCTCATGACACACGAAACAGGATTAACATTCACTTGGGCAATGCTAGAACTGAAATTGGACTGAACAATCCAATGAATAGAAGTATAGAGTCGTACAACGCATTACCTATGACAATAAAAAATATAGACACTTTTAACTTATTTCACAAAGAACTGAAACGGCACTTGGAAATGTAATATAATATTGTAATTTAGATATAGGCCTCTTTGGTATCCCCATATTACTGCTTTCTCTGTGTTGTTCACCATTGTTAAATAATACTAATAGTCTTTTTATTCTTATTGTCTTTATTTCAATATTCTATATTATTGTTATACGTTATCTGGAGCATCTACATATTGTTATTGTTAACTAGTAGATGTAAATATGAAAATAATCACTTAAATGTAGTTCTAATGTTGATACAGTAGTAATCTGTTGGTATACATGTATTGCATTGAGATCACACAATTTATATTTCCACACATGTCATGTTATGAAAATATCATTATTCCGATACCAGCAAGCTTCAAATTGCTGTTTAGGAATTATATTGTATCACCGGGATAGACCCCAAGTGTGATATATCGACAAAATCAGCTCTTCAGAAAGAGTCCAAAAATGCGATAAAATACAGAGTGTTCAACTCGAAATATCTAGTAGACGCGGCAACACTGCATTGTCGAAAATATTTTAAAAGAAGAGAGCGTATTCTAAAATATAAGTTTGCACATTTTCATGGATTTCTCCACACTGATTTTCGATACAAAGATAGTGTAAGCTCGTCGTGACATACCCTGTATACCTCGGGTGAGAATGCTATTATATAGCTTGCACATTGTAATGCTATGTAATAGATCACTTCTCACCCTAGGTGTTTAATATACCATTACTACCAAGGTGTATATCACATTTTTTCACCACTAGCAATATATTTCAATCATTATAGTTCTGAGAAACTGAAATGTGTACCTATGTCACTATGAAAGCACTTTTTTCAATTCTAATTAAAATCTAGTCACCATGACAGCATATGACAAGTCGTTATTGATAAATATCTACTAGATTCCAGTGCCATTCCTGTGAATATCGCATCAGAACAGTGAATTTGGGTTAAATATAACAGAGGTGGCTTTGTCTTTATTGACTAGTGGTTCATAAAATGACGAAAACTACCTTGGTAGTAAAAACACACTTTACGCCTTCAAAAGGAATAAATAATGGTATGTTCTATAACTAGTAGTGAAAAAACATATATTATCAAGGTATCATAGAAGAAATGTGGCTTTATCACATATACTTCCATGGATTCCTTCTCAAACATATAAATAGCCTATAATTTTCCGAGTTCAATAATTCGTAAATGGTTACTGAACATATTGGTAAGTTATTTATCCGATCTGAGAGAGAATGTCAATTCTCAAATTCAGAGGATTTTTATTTTTTATGCTCTTCTTTTGGATGTTCAGATATAATTCAATGTTCGACCTGGCAAATAGCCAGGAAAGTAGTTGTTTTCTGTTGAATATTCAGAATGATATTATGTGCATATATTTTTTCTGAGGGAGAATGCATATTCTCGTTCGACGTGGCAAATAGCCAGGAAAGTAGTTGAGTTCTGTTGAATATTCAGAATGATATGTGTGTATATACATATTTTAATCTGAGGGAGAATGCAAATTCACAACTTCAGAAGATTTTATTTTCAAATTCTTATCGTATGTGTTCAATAGTAAGTTGATATTTTCATCACATAGAGAATGCGAATTCTCAATTTATTTTTTTATATATCAAGCAGTTCGAATTAACACATTTCAACACCCTGAAGACGAGGAAGAGTGTAGGGTGTGAAATTCCCAGACAAACCCCGTTGTGGTGATATTTTTATTGCAAATTCACACGGTAAGTGATAATTTTCATTTTATGGCAACACCATGTAAAAACAATTTAAATCTGCCACTGTCTCGCGATGTCGGATTATTCACCGAACGAGATTGTAAATATGATTATGTGTGTCGGAGATGTCCGTCCCAAGTTACCATCAAGTCTCTTGTACAACGTGCCCGCGAATTGTGCGAAATTTCCTTGACGAAAGATACCCGCAAAAGTGGATTGGTCGTGGGGGACCGGTGCCCTGGCCACCCAGATCACCCGACTTGATTTCCCCAGACTTCTTTCTGTGGGGTTACATCAAAAACATTGTGTTTCGCGAACCCCCAACCACACGCGAGAATATGAAAGATAAAATTAGAGGAGCGTGCATGGCCATAACGCCTAGCTATTGGAAGCGACAGTGCGGAATTTTGAAAAACGAGTGAACTTGTGTATTCAAGAAAATGGAGGTCATTTCGAACACTTGACTCACTTCAAACCAGCTTTAGTCTGACCTAAATAATACCTTAATTGCTGAACCATGCTTATTTTTCTCTTTTCTATATAGAGGTGTCAAGGTGAGTAAGTTCGTTTAGCGTTAATTTGTCGTGTGAATATCACCCCAATGGCGTTTTTCTGGGAAAATATCACACCCTACACTCTTCCTCGTCTTCAGGGGGTGGAAATGTGTAAATAGTGAAATATTGGTTTTTACGATCGCAGTGTCATCTTGTGAAAATGAAAAAGAAGTTCCCGAATAAAAGCTTCATAGTTTTTAATGCTCTTCCAGAATCTGCAATAAAAAATATTCATAAATTTAGAGAAATTTCCAAATAAAGATTAAAATGGGACACCCGGTATATATATCCATTTTTTCATGTTCATAATTTATTTGGGAATATTCATTTTCAATAATTAAAAATCTGAATCTTTATTTCACCACTTTTTTTCCAGAGCATATGCGACAGAAACCTCGCAGTTTCTTGCCCCATTTGAGTCGTCTATCAAATCGCGAAGCAACAACTCTCCCACAGAAGACGAAACCACCACCAATAGAATACTAGCGCCGATGGGAACTTCTGCTTCTACCACAGACATCGTCCATGCAATTGGACCAGATAGTAGGTCACTTTCGGCCGATGTCGCCGATTGGAATCCCTTTGGAGAGGCGCCTTTCATTCATATGACAGAGGATCATATATTTGGAGCCGAATTTGATAAGATTAGGGGAGGAAGCGGAAGTAGTGAGTATGGTTTTTCATTAATATTCACTAGAGTTCCTTGTTGTATGTCCTTAACACGTTTTGACGTTTTCAAATTTTTGAAGTATGGACACTTGACAAGCAGTGACAGTAAGACATATCCACAAACGATTTTGGAGCAGATCATAAGTTTTGCCAGACAAGGACAAGCATTCGGTTTCCCTTCCTATGTTCAGGGAAGAGAACATCCATATATTTATATTTCTTTGTCTTTCATATTTGAATGGAAGTGCATGGCGTCTCCTCGAGTGGAAAAAAGGATATGATAAATTCCACCAAAACATGTGTAGCGATATCTACCCTTTTGTTGAATTAATAGTCAAGAATTGAAGAATTTACATATTGTTTTTCCCAGTGCTGGGACCAACGAGGTATTGCAATTGAAAAAAAAAACTCAATGAACCAGACGTAAATTTCATCACCAACGCTTTTTCTAAACTGCATCACTTCTATCACCATTAAATTCTCAATTTTGAGATGCATGTTCATAAATGGCAATATGGTCTTATAGCGAATATTGTTGCAGAAAAGTTGCATTTCGGGACCCTCCTTGTATCTCAGCTATGTTTCAACTTACTGTAAAAGTAAAAACTGTCTCATACACATTTTTCACGTAGAATCCAGTGGCGTAGTCAGACTTTCGAAATAAGCTATAACTATGCAGATATAACGCAAAGTTATGTTGTTTCACCACCCTGTATATTTATATTTTTCCATACCAATTTGAAACAATGATGCTTTCTAAAAATATACAACACACATATAATATGAGTATAAGCCATGAAATTAGATAGTTTCTAGTTTTCCAGCGGATTTTTCATCGATGGGCCTTTCAAATATGTGCCAACATTGTCCATATCACATTTTTTCATATTTACCTTTATGTTGACACAATTTTTCGTCACACACTAGTTTCAATTTCAACAACATTCAACATTTACAAATATTTAGCACTATTTTATGGACTATAAAAGCTGTGGACCTTATTAGTAGGTGGCTATGAAAAAAAGCGAGTGTTAAGTCAACTGGGATTGATGAAATTTCTGTAATTACCATAAAAAATATAATGCATTCGATAATAAATCCTCTTACTTACCTTTTAAATCAGTCCTACATGCAAGGGTACTTTCCCTCTGAGTTCAAAAAGGCTTTGGTAATTCCCCTCTTCAAAAAAGGGGAAAAAATGAGATAGATAATTACAGACAAATTTCTTTGCTCTGCTCACTTTCCAAGTTGTTTGAAAAGGTAGTGGCAAATAGGATAATGAATCATTTGGAAATCAACAACCTATTATGTAGTAACCAACATGGTTTTAGGAGAAATCATTCCGTAGAAACCGCAACATATGACTTTCTAAATTTTGTATACTCAGAAAAAGATTCGAACAATTTCATAATCAGTCTATTTTTTGACCTGTCAAAGGCCTTTGGCACGGTGTCTTCCGAGTTTTTAAAATATAAATTAGCTGTGCTAGGATTTCCAAATAATTTGTTGATTTGGCTAAAGTCCGTATGACTGTAAGACATGATTCTGTCACATCGAGTGAGCACGATGTGAGATTAGGTGGTCCGCAAGGGTCAGTGCTGGGACCACTACTTTTTGTGTTATTTGCTAACGACTTGCCTGAACACGTAACAGATTGTCACATAACTATGTTTGCAGATGGCACCACAATTACAGTAGCTGGTCTCAAAATTGATATTTTACTAGCAAAGGTCAGCAGAATCATCGATACATTCACATCCTGGTGTGAACGAACACTTCTAAGTCGATATCTATGAAATTTTACAGTAGGAGGGATAATATCCCCGGCGAAATAACTCATTTTGATGAAATAGTTATGTTGCAAGATGTTAAGTTTTTGGGTGTATACTTGGATGAAACGTTAAATTGGGATCTTCATATCGACAGTGTCTGCAAGAAACTGAATACTGCGTTCAAAAATGAAAAATTGTATTGAAAAAGAGAGTCTATTAAGTATTTATTTTGCGATGCCATTCTCACATATTTTTCTTAACATAATGGCATGGGGATGTGGAAGAGAATTTAACAGAGTTTTTGTGGGGCAGAAACGTATTTTAAGACTTATTTTCGACATGGATTATCGAGAAAGCTGCAAAGCTGTATTTGTAAGAGAAAAATTGCTAACTGTCCCATCCATATATATTCTAAAATGTGTGAAATTCGTTAGAAGCAACTTGGAGTCTTTCGAAACTAATGCATCTTCACACACCTATCACACTCGACATGGTGGGGACTTGAGGATACCAAAACATAAGACAATGAAATTCAAAAACTCTCCCTTATAGAATGCAAAATTGCCAACAGAGGTCAAGAATTCTGGATGTAATAAAATATTTTATGATTAAACAAAATGTTTGTCAATTGAGAAGTGTTATTATAGTCAGCAAGAATTTTTAGTTGATTTAGTGTGATTCAATATTTTTAAATGGTATGTTGTCCGTGTGTTATTATGTTTCTCAATTTGTTCATATTTTCAGTAAATATGATAACTTATGATATGGACCTACTGAAAACTAGAAATTATCTAAATTCATGGCGAATACTTGAAATTAGCCATAAGTATTATATATTTTCAGAAAGCTCAGAGTATCAATATTTCAAATATGATGAAATTACAGGGGTTCCATTTAAAAAATCAACTATGGGTTACAAGATACAAGGGGTTCCCAAAATGCAACATTTTTAATTTCGCACTGTATCTCAAGAACGAAGCAAGTTATGAAAATTTTGTTTGCAGTATCGCGAGTTTCACAAAAATGCTGCCAAGTTCGCGAAAACCGCAAATCTCTACCTTTGAAAATAAGTGAGATATCCCGTAAGGACATCGAAAATGGGACAGCCTGTACGATTCCGCTCATAATACTGAAATTCAGTACTCTACCGCTGGTACATCGTTTTATATGTGTATTCGCTGAAGGTTCCTTGGGTAACCGATAAAGACTTTTCTGGCATCTGCAGACTTCAGAAAGGGCCCTTTCACTAGCCAGTCTTTTAGTGCTGATCGTTCTTATTGCTTGCTGAATCACATAACATATTTACTGAGTACCAAGGTTATCATTCCATTTTTTCTCTCTTCACCAGTTAGTCAATCTGGAAAAACTAGTGCTGCACTGACTTAGAACTAGTGTACTGGTACTGCATTGGCCGGGATTGGCGCAGTGGAAGAGCGTCCGTCTCACGACCGTAAGGTCGTGGGTTCGATTTCCAGCACGAGCAAGGAACTTTTTTCAATATTTTATTTACGAATTAAATATTGTAAAGTTTCGGAGCATCGGCTGGGGATAGTCCTGCACGATTCGCTGTTGCGTTCCAATTAACAGTGCTGCTCCTAAAGTGGCGCATGGAGTTAGTAACAAAGCCTACACAGAACACGCAGAAAGATATGATGATGTGGTTGTGAGCATCAGAGAAGAAGTAGGACGGTGTATGTAGGTGGGTGTGGAAAAACTACCAGCTGAGCGTGAGAGCGTGCCAGCTGCTTAAGTAGACCTCGGTCTCGTGGGTTAACGATGATAGTTAGCAGGCCTGCCACTGCGCATATGGTAGTGAGTACATTACTAGCCTACAAAACACAGCTGAAAAACTCTGAAAAGAGAGCTGATGGGCGGTGCCTGAAAAGGATGTTAGCCAGCTCTCTTGAGCGAACCACATCAGTCATTGAAAACACTTGGGGTTGGCAAAAAGGTCCCATTGGGGACTAGTTGCTGACGTGGAAACGTCCCCCACCAGTACCAGTAGAACTAGTGTAACACTCACACTGTATCAGTGTTGCACTAGTGCAATCCCAATCCCAATGAGACTCACAATTTTGTATCGAATCTTGAAACGTCAAATTAAAATCAACATTCACCTTAGTTGTTTGTGAACGATTTGTTTTCAGCAAAACTATAGAGGGTGTTTCCGAAATAGGAGCGATCTTGAAATAGGTAATGGAAGACAAAAAAAACAAAACACAATAGAAGTGTGCATTATAGACAGGAAATCATATCAACGATCCATATTGTATTTTAGTCCTTAAATAAGCATTGAAAAGTGTCATGAGTGTATTTGTATTTGTAAATGCTCATTATGAAACCTAGCATTCAATTAGCTGATGAAACAGCCTGGTCTCCGTGTGATGCAAACTTGAATTTATGATCGAAAAGAATCTTTCATGTCCTGAACCCGGTTGATTTAATGATCGGTAATTTCGTAAGATAAATTCTATTGTTATTCTTTCTAGAAAATGATAAAACATGACGTTTAGAAATATTCAGATGTAAATGATTACTCGACCACCAATTGAAAACTAAGTCGATCTCATTCTGTAAAATCAATCTTCATATTCTTCAATAACTTTAAACAGCTTCGAGTCATCGGCGCAAAGAAGTTATGAGCAATTTATCTTTTTACTAAATTATCGATGAAAAGCAGGAATAATTGGGGCCCTGTGGAACTCCCGAACTTGAATAATTTCTTATTATTTACAGTCATTTCATCCTGGGAGAAGGTGAATGAGTTGTTAAACTAACCCAAGAAAATTAGTAGGATAATTTGTATCACCAGCAGGTTACGTATAGTGTCTTGGTAAGATGTGATAGTTTCATGTGTATACACTATCTATTTTGTACTTATCAAGTGTAGAATGTATCACAAAACCAAACTAAAAAACATAAATAATTCGAGGAAAACAGTGCAAGTTGGTATTTGACAGAAAATATCGAATATCGAAATATCAAAAAAAAAAAGTAGGTGCAGAATGGGATTCGAATATGCAACCGTTGGTTTATCAGGCACGTACCTCCATTGGCCATCATGTATCATGTTCCTTGCGAAATTATGTAGAAAACAGGTTTACACAGAAAAAATAATTCTGCCCACACGGATAATTTGTTGAATTGCATCCTATCGCATGGTGCTTCTTTTCGGGTAGTATTGAATTCGTGGCCTTAAATCATCTAAGTACCTACCCCACTTGA